CCGGTTGACCCCCACTTGGTACAGCGGAATACCAGCCTTGTGTTCGGATTGCGCCACGCAGCTGCACACGGCGGGTATAGCAAAGCCAACAACTGCTGCTGTCCAGCCAGAAGGAAGCTGTACGGTATAGGGGCCGAAATTATGACTACTGGAAAGTTCAAAAAAACCTTAACTTGTCCGTATACCAAATGGCGGATTGTTATACTTTGTAGACACATATCACTCTTCGCACGACCACAACAATCTCGGAGCTTACAAACCTATATGCTAAACTTTTTAAATTAGCCTAATGGAGTGTCAAACACGTCTCTACATCTATTCTGCCCACAGATGGAATTCGCTGTCACACGTCCGTGCTTCGGTGAATGTCCGCACGTGAGTTACCCCCATTAGACCGTCGGTCATCAGGAAATTGCGGTGAAAATAAGCCACACTCAATTATCCTCCATCTAGACCAGACTCTATTGCTCCAAGCGGCTAGCAACTATGTTGCGCTCCAATATAGCTGCTAAGTCGACAAACTCCGGTTACGCATGTCAAAGAATGAATGTGTGTGGATGCGTGTGGATTTCGGGGGAAAAGCCAGAAGATTAATCGCCCGTCGGGCAATCAGAGTAAGGCAGTTAAGTATAGCGCTTAGCCGATAAACAAAAAAGAACGCGCACGCGCAGTGTGGAACCGATTTACTAAAAGCATCCTGTGTTACAGTGGCTAGAAAAGCTGGAAGGAAAACCAATGAAATAGGGAAAGTAAGGCAAGATCATTCTCAACCCATCATATAGGGGCCTGTGTTTACGAATCGATACTCAGGTGTGTACGTGACACCCCTCTCTTTCCTGGTCAAGACTGCAGACTCAGGGTTGATACTAGCCTGATATGCGTACAATTTTCCTAGTTCCTCATCAAAAACGTCAGCATATTTGTTGAGCACATCCTCCAAGCGCTGGTAAATGGCGGGAAGTCATTTAATCCGGTCGCGCCCGACAATCACTCGCCACAACATATGCCTGTAAGGTCCGCTTCTCCCCATGGTAATTTACATGAACAGTGCATTGTCCTAGGACTGGTATCGGCTGCCCAGTGTACGTACACAAAGTTGATTTACAGGGGGATAAGTTGGGTAATTTTTAACAGATGCAGCACTGACTATGGCAACTGAGGCCCTTGTATCAACTTCCATTTTAACCAACTGACCTATTTCAAATTGCACAGTGTAGGGAGGGGGAACGCTGCAGATACTCGATGTTGCGTTCCAGATCATGTTTACCTGGTCTTCTTCATCTGAAGACTGCAGGACCTTTACTGGCTTCTTGGGAAAAAGTGATATCGCGGATGTGTGAGCTTTAGCTCGGCAAACTCGGGCCAAGTGCCCTAATTTTCCAACTTAGCGGCAGTTACTCTGCTTATGACGACATTCCTCGGATGATAAATGCTGACTTCCACATCGGCAACAAATAAAAGCAATTCGGACCGTCTCAGGGTAACATCTTTTCGGTCAACTGCTTGGATCCTGTCTGTATGAGGTTGCGAGGAAAAAGATGCTAACTGTCTATGGACATTCCCCAGCTGTCGAACAATATTGCAGGCCTTCGCCCAGCTGATCGCCGTCTCATCTTGCGACAACAACCTTTCACGAGCCTGTTCGTTAAGCATACCGGATGTCAAGCACTGTAAAGCCGTCGCCTCTTCGAACTTCGTGGCTGGGATTTCACGATACCGACACTCTGTTAGGGCTTGCTGAATTCTCGCAATGAAATCAATGAGAATTTCTTCAGGTTTTTGACGCAAGATCGATAAAGAATACCGCGCAGTGTATGTGTTCAGTCGTGAACCACATAACCCGCTGAGAATTTCTAGCGCGCTGCTGACTGGCTCCTTCTCATCGACATGGAGGGCACCAAAATGTCTTTAGCCTCCATCCCCCAGAAATTGTCTCAATAATCTAATTTTGTGGTCCTCAGAGAGTACCATGTTTGGTGGCAAGACGGGTAGTAGCTCCAGATAATCCAAAAAAGTGCGCTCGCAGCGATTCCAGGTAGCCGGTGTTGGTTTCCCAGAAGGAATCTTCCAAAGTAGTGCAGGAAGGTGCAACATCGCAGTAGTTTAACCGAAGCAGTTGACGCATGAAAAGGAAGCAGCAATGCGCTGTAGAGGAAAAGAGGTCTCGCAGCATGAGGTGGAGGAAAGTATGCCAGACATCATGTGATGCGTAGCTGCATTCAATTTAGCTGTTCGACATCCAACACTTCGACACAGGAACAAAGTGGGAGTACATGCAAGTGAAATTAAGATATTTGGTAGTATGCCGTCCTAAGAATATCCAATGCTGCAAGCACCGCTCAATATGGAGTACTCATTGTGTGGATGAGTTGGGGGCGCAAAATCCTAATTTCCACCACAATTTAATAAGGAGCGAGTTGCCGCGGTGCGTTGCATAAGTGTCCCGTGTGGCTCGCACTCTACAACTTGTTTCCACCTTGTTCGGACGCTTCAGGCGACGGGAATAAGATTCACGGCGTGGTGATTATAGTCGACAGACCTCTGTATAATAACAGGACTAGGTAGCGCTCAGCACGGCGATTATAAATCCGCAGTTAGGTATTTAAAGTGCTTTATAACTACTTTGGATGGTGGTACACAATCATAAAAAGCAAGTTCAACGTATATATTCGGAACACGGCTACCTGTGGTCGTATAAAACCGCTCCTTATGGTGAATTTCACAATCCCGCTAGGTGAAATGCAGAGAGGACATGTGTGTCGATGGAAGGCGGCCGGTCAGATGCAACCAAGTGATGAAGATGGATTCGAATCGGACAACAAGCAACCTAAGCAGATAATGGGAATAAGGCGTAGTAAAAACACGAGGGCAATGGAGCAGCAGTTGCCGTTCCCAGCATATAGCACATTTTGCAAGGAATTAGTATATGCTGGATCAGGGCAAAAGAACGAAAATTAGCACAAGCAGTGAGTGCTGCAGAAACGGCCATAATCCGCGGGAATTGTCGGGAATTAATTGGGTTCAATAACTGAAGCTGGCTGATTCAAGCAACACGATCTGTGTCTGCGTTCCTTTGCTCAAACCTAAAGCTTTGCAAAAGTAGAAATGAGGGAAAGCTTAAATAAAAACCTGTTGATGGTAGCAATAGTCCATTATGGTTAGTGGCATCCATTTCCAGAGCGAAACTACCGCTGTGATCGTGAATAGCCACAGGACGCCTGCACCTACAGAGACCATGGGAGGTGTGAGAAACACCGCCAACAGCTCCGTCCGCCCACCATCTATCCACTGCAAACAAACCCGAAGGAATAAGATCGGGATGCATGTGGATAGGAGTCACGATTGGTTGGGAGCCGACCCACACTCTTTGAATTTGCACATCATTCTCATGAATGGAGGGAAGCATGCATAGCACACATATACAGGGTGGTGGCTGGGGGGGGGGCGTAGCCCGTTTCACAGTAGATGGAACTACGCTTTGAGCTTACCATCCTGTCTCCTCCAGCAATTATTGGGAAGCAGTCAGAGCCAGTAATCAAGGTGGTGGTTTCCAACAGGCAGGCGTCTTGTCAACATTCGCATCAAGCGTAACTAGACCTGAGATATCACTCAGCAAGTGTCATCCAAAGTGGGCCAACATGAACTTTACCAGTTGCAGCGACGATGCAAATCATGTGTCACACCCGCCGCATTATCGTCCGAAGTTAATAAACCAAAGCAGAAGCAGCGTCGGTAATTACTCTTGTAGAGTATACAATAACAACAATAGTGACAATTTATTCTCGATCGTCCACGGAAACACCTGAAGAAGCAAATGAGTATATGGTTGGAGGCATCCGGTTTCGGATTTGCCTGTCACTGTGGCCAGCCACAGGACGCCTGCGCCTACAGAGGGACCATGGATGGCTTGCGCTGCACCACCCACAGCTCCAACCACACACCCCATATCCAGAGTAATCTCGAAGGAATAAGATCGCGAGGCATGTGGATGGGAGCCACGTCTCATCAACGGAGCCGGCCCACATTCCTTCACAGGCAAACGCAAGCACGCTGTAGTTGGGAATCAATCGCACACAAGCGGTAGCTGGAGCGCACTCCGCTCCACACTGAGTGCATGGAACCCATCTTCGATCCTAGCACGACCACAAGGACCGTGCACCCCGTCCCCTCCAGCAATGAACAACTGTCTCCTGGAGCCAGTATGGATGAGGTAGTGAGTAACAGATAGGTAGGCACCTTGTCAACATGCACATCCAGCGCAGCCACACCGGGGATATAAAGCACCAGCCAATCACTAGAAATAACATTATCAAGTACAGTATATCTATTAAAGCATACGGCTATGCAGACATAACTCTTCCCTAAATTAGCATATGAAGTAAGTTGGTTATCAACGAATAAGCGACAAGTACAAAATGTCCACAATTTACTCGAAAAATGCTACAAACGCAATAAAGTTAACGCAATTAGTGTACATAACGTGTGCAAGTTATTAGAAGATTATTCAGTTAGGCAGGACAACACAAATAAAGTGGGATGAAATTTATCAAGCTTAAAAAGACCTAGTTTAAGTGTAAGTTGGTTGAATATATATATATATATATATATATATATATATATATATATAACAATAACTTTGGTGCTCATCTCCTTAAAGGATTCAGTTCATAGATTGTATGAACGGAAAATTAAAGCGAGAAAGAGCATGATGTATGTGTCAAATCAATGCAGAAACGTAATCAGAAGTGTTAAATGCAAAGTCAAACAATCCATTAGTTGATATTTACTGGGTCATGACCATTCAGACCTCTGAATCGACGCGCAACCGGAATGTTTCCACCTAAATAGTTTACACAGGGAGGAAACCGAAGGAAAGGAGCAACAAGGACAACAACACTAGAAACATTTCTCCTGGGAAAGCAGATTAATTTTAAAATGAGAGAAAAGAAACCATATGTGGCAATTGTATTTACAGACGAACAGATAGTTGAAAAACTTACCCGCCTTGAACATACTCCAAAAAGCTGTACACTTTCTCGATCTTGACAAGGTTCAAATGAAGCTGAAACAAAGACACACACATAATGATGAGATGTGACAGATTTATGCGAAAGACAAACGAAGTTGGCTCGCGAGACCACCGGTTGATCGACCCATAGAGATCAAAAGAAGGGTGCATGCTCAGTTGGAATGTAAATACAGAGCAGAGAGACTCAATGGTATACTGACCGCTTACGGAACAACATGTAAACGACGGTCCGGTAGTAGAACTCGCAGTATACAGAATACAGTAAAGAGGAGAGAATCTAGATTTCCGGGCCAAACTGAATTCCACGCGGCGTGTGGCAGGAATTCAGCCGGATGACTATCATGTAGTACGATTGAGGGAAAGGAGGCAAAATGCAGGAGGACTGCGAGCTGATTCGCGGATGACAGTGGGGCGGCGCATTCAGGATACAACTTCAGATATGTCTTGTATACCCTAGGAGGTGAATAAGTTAACATACTCCCATCGTCAAACCCGGAAATCAAACGTGCACACCCGCACATACGACACCTCATGGTGGTTAAAAAATGGAAATGTTTGTTCAAATTTCTCATCCAGTGAACATAGTAATGTAGCGGAGAACATGGCCGAACGTAGACGCCAGGACAAACTTAAGAATGCAAGAGGGTTAATCGAAAACGAGAAATAATTCCCGTAGGAGAGATAAGGAAACAAGCGGGAGGGAACAAGTTTGCTTTCAGTGGTTCGTCATCAGCCTATTACAAGAACAACTGAGCAGACTAAAACGGGTAGGCGCTCACAGTTTCCCCACACTAAGACCAGATGTGGATCAAGACGCTATCGCGGGGATTCGGTAGCCTATAACAGCGAGTAGCCATTGGGCAATCACCTCAGAATTCAGCCACCTCTGCGAGTTTCACTATGTCTCGCCGCCCAGAAGCAACGAAACGACAGAGTTCATCGTGCTAATTCATAAGACTGCAAACGTTAGTAAAGGTTATACGCAGGCTGCAGCAGGAACCGCCGGGCAGGCTTGAAGTGTGAGCAACCAGTTTATCTTGCTTCGTGGGATCTGGAAAACGACCCAAAGGCTTACGGCACGGAGATTTGTTTCTACATCACCAATACGTCTTTTCTGCTCAATGACGGCAGACTTCAATCCTCCTCGGTCCACCTGGTCCAGATCTGGACGAATATGGATGCATATACCTTTCAGCCTATTTAAGCTGGACAAAATCTGCCACGGACTGGCTTCGTCCACAAAGGTGATTCTCACTGGCCGACTTTGTTGATCACTTAACTTTCCAAGACGGACAATTTGACCAACTTTTAAGTAATTCTCGCTCACGTCGAGCAGCTAGCAATTAGGCTCTGTAAAAACGACGTCAAACACTAGACGGCCGTTTCGATCTGTTGCGTTTCGACACTAGTGCGTATCCATCGGGATTCGAACCTATGACCAACAACAAGCAGCTTATGCCACTGAGCATTGATAGATCATTAGTAGTAAGTAAAAATAGGATGTACTGACCCTGTTTTCTGTGCCAAATTCTCCAACTTCCTTCGGGCTTTATTGCCGAAAATGTGATCGGCCAGAACGCTTCAACGAGCAAATGACGATAGAACATGAGGGATACGTGTTGAATCTGTCTACTCCTTCCTTAATTCGCCCACTACTTGTAGCCCTATCACTAGGTTGCAATGTCTCGGTCCCACCGAATAGATGTGATAGAATAGGGGCCGAAGCTTAGATTTAACAAACAACAACTGTCCAGTCTAACACCGATCAGAGAGGATGCAAGCAGTTGGTCTGGAGATAGGATGGTAGATCATACCAATCAATTCTGCGTTTGTGAAACCGAAAAGTGTCGAATTCTAACGAGGGATCACTGGAAATCCTTAACGCAATTGCGACGAAATGAAAACATGGTAATACTGACTAGATCAGGAATTGCAATAATAGACACGCAAGCCCACTTCCAGAAACTGCAAACAGTACTTGCAGACTCTAGCCATTTCATTCGTGATGTGACAGGCCGCGAGCAAGTAGAGAAGCAAATAGTCCGTGAATTAAAGAAGCTAATGATGGAACGATTGATCGACGCAAAACCTTTGATACAGATACGCTCTCGAGAATCTCGACTTCCACATATGCATGGCATACCGAAAAGTGAGCATTTTGCTCGAAAATGGTGTTCTCCCATGTGTAGTTAGTTTGATGAGTGATTACTCTACAAATAGCATACACTTCCACAATCCCAGCAAAGTGTTATTTCACTCCATGTACTGTATTTTAATCTATATTGGATGTTTGTCCATATCAACCAGTTTCATTGGATGCAAATACGCTAAGGACATCATTCTAGAGTGCATAGACCCAGTAATTGACGAATCTTCGAAGCCTCAAAGAGGATTGGACGAACTCTCTTGACCTGATCAAACTCCAGCTCCTTCTCCCTTAACCTTTTCAAATGTTGTAATACCATGTCATCCATTCTCCACTCCGATAGACTGCGTCTCTTTTAAATAAACCCCCTTCATTAATCGTGAGTGACTAAAGAATCTCTTGCTCATACCAGTAAAGAACTTAGGTGGTTTCTTGTCTTTCAATGTATCCTAGTCTACACATATTTTCGAAATTTTTCAGTCAGAAGGCTATCATTCTAAGCTCTAAGACTCCTGTGTACATATTCCCACACATTCATTATACCATTCAACTGCTATTGTCCCCGCACATCTTCAAAAGGATTACACACTTCTTGTGCGCTAACTATAATTGATTTTCAGATCCTCAGGAGCGTAAAAAGGATCTCTATTTGATTTTCGGGTTCTTGGGGCACCCGCCGTGCGTCTTGGATTGCGACGCGCAATCTCACTAGTGGCGCCGGTTGACTTTGAAGTCAGCTTCTGCCAATACGGTCACTGGGACCGTCACCGAAGTGGAGGGTTTCGATGTGGCTCTCTCCCATCCCTGGAGGGCAGGGATGGGAGAAAGCCACACCGAAACCCTCCAGATCTCTATTTGAGTTTATCGTTAGTAAGCATGTTGACGCATGTTTCAACACCTCATCAAGGAATGTAATCGCCTCCTCTCATCCCATGCACACTGTTCTAGCCAGTACGGTGATTATTTCTTCCATGCGGTCGAAAGTTGAAGTTTTATGTTCCTCTCACCTCGTGCCGGAACTCAATCTTGTCCTATCTGTCTCGCCTGTTAGTCGACCCAAAAGCAATACTGTACCAGCTGAAGGACGGTATGCACTCTTTGATTTCCTCGTTAGTTTGTATTCCTTTCCGCCGATGCTATGTCATAGTGGTCTGCGCGCCTGGTTTGCAGACATAAGGTCACCGGTTCGAATCAACGTACGGGTGGGCGTCCTCGTAAAATACTCACCCTGCGTGCGACTGGTGGTCGCGTGGCAGCGAAGCGCCGTTACGGCGTACAGCTGACACATTACTATTCTTATTATTATTATTACTATGTCATAGTATACCCGGAGTCTTAGTGTAAATTGCTGAAAATGTTCCTACATGGGTGCATAAACTTAAGTTGTAACTCTTCCACGCCATCCAAAGTCGGGTAGATAAAATCTCGTTAACAAGAGATAAGCGGGAATATGTAAGACATAGTCCGATCGGAGCAACCTAGCCAGTTTTTTGATCTCACTGCCCTGATCGTCGTCTTACAGTAGCCACTTGCGCACCATATTGCACCACTTGTTCGCAATGGTACTAGCCGATATGAAGAGTACTCCTTCGGTAGCGATGCTCAAAGACTTGCACTCGCTTGGGCAATTCAGATCGCAGGAGTCAGATGCTTCGCTCGAATTAGAGAACTACCCTCGTTGTCGTTCCGGTTACATTACTTTTAAGGCCTAATGAACTGCTTTTGGCGACAAGTACTGTAGACGAACCATGGATCCCAGCTCCGGCGATCTGTAGAATAATTTCAGAAGCACGCTTGTCACTGCTGATGCCAGTGACGGGATAGATGAACAAATCAACCAACAGCGACTCACTACCATCAAATTGTCCCTTAACGGCTCTGAATTTTGAAGGCGCAAAGCTTATATCAAAGAATGGAATCACTCAGAAGAGTTTGATAGAGCTATCTATGGAGTGTGCAACAGAAAGGCGATGACTGCAAAATCCAAATCAAGCAGCCTTCCTCGAGAGAAACCTAAATACCTGGTTCGCGAAAGCCTAGAAAAGAACAAGACAAATTGGAATCTGCGGTGCGATTAGATGGAAAAAGATAAATAGGACAACCCTAGCGAACGCCGATCGTACTTGCAGAATCATGCTGCTTGTAAGTGTGTCCCTTAAACAATTAGAGGGCCAGTGGACATCCCAGAAAAACTAGTGTAGTGTAGGTCGTACTGGCGACGAAACACAGGCGAATCTTGTGAGCATATGGTGACTAAGCAAGTTGGATTACTGTTGAATAAGAGTGGTCTAAATGTGCCACAGATACCCCAAGGTTATGAAAATCCGACGTCAACTCAATAAGGTCACGGCGATATGCACTAATCTCTGAGCTATTGGCATCTATACTGTTTCGCAGACTAACCACATTAAGTGAATCATACTACCGTGAAAAACAAAGTGGTTGCGGTCCCGGCCGCGGAAGCGTGGATCAAATCTTCCAGAGCCGCCAACTCCTCGAACATCGTCAGATTTATCACAGACCCATTATTGCTGCATTCCTAGACAAACGCGTTGCATTTGACTCCGTTGATGCACCTGCTTTACGTTGTTGCCTGCTGAAGAAGAACAGAGTGTCAGAGAAGTATACCGCCATCTTACGCAGATTTGACCTTCGTACCCCCGGTAGATTGAGGGTCTACGGCAAGCTACACTCGCTTATCGATGTCAATAGCGGTGTGCGACAGGGCTGCTCTTAAACTTCGCAATCGAGGACGTCCTGTCAAGAGTTCTAGAAGGTTGCCAAAATTTTGGCCTAGAGCTTCTGCCAGGTGAGCGCGCGACCGACATAGAGTATTAGAAATCCGTGAGAATATTTGTAGCTCAGGATGCGGATGAGGGTATGCGGG